AAACGTTTTTAACAATTTCATCTGCCAAACTGCATTACAGTTTGTCGGCGGTAGTTCTTGTCTTACATGCTTAATGCTTATGTTTATATAATCTGAACTATAATATTTTATACATATACTAACATCTACCAACATCTATTTTATTTATACATATTTAGTACAAACTTTGTTATGAGGTCCACATTAGCCAAATATTAAAATTGGTTCATTATTTTTGAATCATTTTTTTATATACATACAATATATTCACATATATGACGGCACGTGCACCATTGCACGTGCGGCAGCGTCGGTGTAGCTAGACAGAATTCTTGTAAATAACACGTACTCCGCACACCTGCACCATTGCACCTGCGGTGGCGCCCGTTTAGATTGTATAAAACGGACGGAGCTGCCGCCATTAGGACAGTCTTGGCTCTGACGTGGAACGGTGCGCTTGTCGTATTCCGTTACTAGTTTATCCTCGACTCGTTGGATAATTAATTCGTGTAAATGAATTAATTATTATTCCTAACTACAAAATTAGTCTCTGTACTATACCCACTATACTTCCTACATATACACTAATTCAACACATACTCAAACAGCACATATCGCATATAGACTGCTAATTTTAACAGTACGTTACTCATGGCCTGTGGCGTAACTTTATGGATGCAATGATAGGTAATGTTTTCTTAGAATATTTTTTAAATGATTTGTCGAGATAACTTTATTAAGCAAGTCTGGAGGCAGTTCGTTATGTAATTGCGAGATAACCCATCGTTTCGTACGCATACCGAAGTAATTTTTAATTTTAGGTACTACATATTTTCCTTTTCTAGTGGTTTGACGAGTTCGGTAACCATATTCTCTTTCTACTTTAAACTCATTTTTATTATACTGTTCCATTATCAACTTTAATTTTAACTTTTTTGTCTACAGGTACAATCTTACAAATTTTGAAAAGTTTATCATATTCTTTATTACACGCAATTTTATCTTTATTATCTACTAGTATTTTTAAAAACCTTGTTTGTGGTTCTTTGATTTTATTTAAATATCTGCCCAACCCGTAATCTATAAGCAAGCGCATAGTACAGCATATGTCATATACTTCTGCTTAGCTTAAATTTGATGTGGTACAATTTACCCAACACACTACGTAGTTTGTTACAGATTCGCTCAACACGTATACTCCATACAAAACTGGTACCTATAGTTAGTCCTAGGTATTTGTAGCATGTGACTTGTTCTTACTTCAGACATTTACAGTTCGCTGTATGTATCGTATATATTCCTATACCATCCATACGGATTACGATAAAACTTTGATAAGTTGTTGTGTGCGCGCCCGCGAAAGTTTGCGACAGAGAAAAATGAATATCTCTTTGTTCGTTTTCTATAACATTTTTCCGATTACGATCATTGAAAAATCACCTTTCTATGACGAATATGTACGTGTATTCATTCATAAAAATCCAAATGACCTAAATCTATCCTCTTTAATTAAATTCGGCCTACTTTTTCACTATTCCAAAGGCGAATAATTACAAGGTATGAACATGCCATGTAATTAGTACAAATAATGAGTACATTGCACGATTCACCTTTCGTCTTCACTGAGCTAGTAGCATTCACAACTGCATAAATACACCAGAGGATGCGCTGGCATTTAATTTTCTGTATTAAATTGCGATGGGCTACACCGTACCGTGCAGCGTGACTTAAGAGAATCCCCTACTTCTGAATTGTTGAATTTGATAGGTTGCAATGAACTAATGAATGGAAAAAAAAACTACAAAAATTATGAAAATTCGAATGAAGAGGCTTCAAGTGTACAATTTTAATTTTAAAAGTGTTGTACGTTTTATAAAATAGAACAACGGTTCAGTGTACTACTCCTTCAGCACAAATGAATCGGCTAGACCGAAGAAGGATCACGATCGCACAGATTACTAGCTTTAAATACAACATCCTATCTTCGTATATATTCTTTATTCATTATAGAGCAGTTACAATGACCATATTGCTCATACTTACACTTATTCAGACTCGTTCAATGACTAAGGTGGAATTTCTCTCACACAGCCCCTCCGTTTTTCTTAAAATTGCAAAAATTAAGTTAAATTTATGACTCAAAAAATGTTAAATACCATTTTAGGAACTCTAGCATATTGGGTTCGGGTGATTCGATATATAAGTTGTTTGTTGGAAGCGAATATTTCTATGAATACTACTAGACGGACTCTGCGGCCTTACATACATTGCGCACTAAGTTACGGTCAATACTCCGTAATTTCTTTAGTAGTGTTCAATGTGACTAAGAAAACGCTGTTATTATTTATGTGCACACTTTGCCAACATACTTAGTTTGAAGTTTAGTTCGTAATTGCGTAAAAACAGTAAAGGTGGTAAATGAAAATATAACCCACTCGCAAGCGCGCCCGCACGATCTACAGCTCAGATACCATTTTTGTTCTGAAATGCGGGTCTGCTATTATACATAAAAGTCTTTAAGTGAAAGGAACATTACATTTTTATTAATATAAAATAACAACTACAATTCTTTATTATAATTAAATGTTAAAAGTAAATTTATTATTATATGTCTTGAAAATAAAACCACCATCATCATCATCATCATCATTACAGCCCTTCACAAGTCTATTGCTAAACATAGGTCTCCCTCAAGGAATGCCACAAAGCACGGTCCTGAGCCACTTGCATCCATCGACTTCCTGCATGTCTTACCAAATCGACACAACATGTAGTAGGGGGTCGCCCAACACTTCGTACCGGTTGTCAACACTACAATTTGCCTGCCGATACGAGGGTGCCACTCGAGAACCTTTCTTCCCTATCGGTTGTTGTTTCTTCGAGCTATATGGCCGAATTATTGCTACTTCAGCTTACTAATCCTTTGGGCTATGTCGGTTACTCTGGTTCTATTGTGGATATCCTCGTTTTTAAGTCTATTACACAGAGAAACGCATAGCCATCTCCATAGCTTGTTGAGCAACTTTGAGCTTCCTCGTACGGCCAACAGTGAAGGACCACTTCTCAGATCCATAGGTCATCACTAACAACACGCACTGGTTGTAGAATTTAGTTTTGAAATTTTGAGGTATGTCTGTTGAGAAGATGTGTCGTAATCTCCCGAACGATGCCCAGCCGAATTGAATCGGTCAATTGACCTCTCGGTAGTAGTTTGACTATTTCTTCCAGGTAAACATATTCGTCAACAACTTCGATCTTAGAGCTCCCAACATCTACCGGCACAGGTGTGACATGAATGTTAAACATAATTTTTGTTTTGTCCATGTTCATCTTAAGACCTATCCGTTAGGAGACACTATTGAGCTTATTGAGCATAGTGCTTAGGCCCTCCAGCGATTCTGCCATAAGGACTAAATCGTCGGCAAATCAAAGGTGAGTGATGTACTCGCCATTGACGTTAATACCATATCCTTTCTGGTCCAGTAGCTTGAAAACGTCTTCCAATGCACTTGTGAAGAGTAATTACGTTACGAGGAAAATTACGTTACCCTTTCTTACACCTCTCTGCAGTTGGATAGGATTCGTACTCTGGTTCTGTACGTGGATAGCCATCGTACTGTACAAACACTTCAGCACTTCGATATACCGTTAGTCCACTTGGCACATCTGAGTGACTGCAACACCACTCAAATTTCGACGGAATCAAAGGCTTTCTCATAGTCCACATACGCAAGATAAAGTGGCAGATTGTATAATATGCCAGCTCTCTTATATTATACGATAAAATTCTAAGAGTATGTACGTGGTAGAGCCATGCTGCAGCTATATTAGTAGTATAGTTGTAGCACAAATGGGTCGGCTCAATCCGGGAAGGACCACGCTCTCACAGAATACCAGCGTAAAATGGCAGCTTAACACTGCTGTGTTTCGTATGGTGAGAGTAGAGAACCGGAGACCCATTTTACTGGGAATAAGGCTTTCAATCTTAGTCCTAACGGGTGACAACGAATCTGCATTTTGATACGTAATCGAGGATGTCTATGGGCCACAACCACCACTTACCATCAGGTAGACTGTGTGCTCGTTTGTCACCCTTATCCTATAAAAACATTCAAAGTAATAAATAACAAGGCTTTTGAAAGAAAAATAAATACGCCAGAGTTTCTTTAACTGGTAACGACGTATCTGCATTTTGATTCTTTGTTGAGGATAATTGTAGATGTCTATGGGTCACAGCAATCATTTACCATCAGGTGGACTGTGGGCTCGTTTGTTACCGTTATTCTATTTACAAAAAGATAAATATAAAGCGATTTATTTGAGGTCATGAGATCATTCATCCTAAATAGCATTTTCCTTATTTCGACTTTCACTACACCGAATTCAACAACAAAAAACTTGACAAATTTATTTCCAGATGCTGGCTTATAGTGACAGCGTAATAGAATAGAATGGAATCATTTTTATTCAATATAGAGTACAGTAATATTTATTGAAAGTCATTTTACACGTTTACCATTGGTTCGGAAAAAACCTCTGTCCTGGGAAGAACCAGCAAAAAACACAGCGGTAGTTTTTTTAATGTACAATTTAAAATAAACCACTAAACGATGTTATGCCGTGGGTGTAGTCACAGACGGTAGAGGGAATCTTAAACAAGAGATGGGCAGCAGCATCTTCCAGATAACAACCGAAAATAATAAAAGAATTGCGGTTACCAAATCGCCTGCGAATCATGGCAACTATGGCAAATATTAAGATGAGCTGTAATAATAAAATGCTACAATATAATTTGCTATAATTTTCCTTATATTCGAATAGTTATCATAGTAAATAAAATAATAAGTAATAATAACAATTTATTCTGACGCTCCAATTTGATAAAGCTTATCCTTCCTTAAAACACACAACAACAAATAACTTAGAGTAATAATTCTCCGGCAGTAATCTTGTTTACGTTGTACGTACTCGACGTAGCGTGTGTTTTTAAGTTGCTTTTATTTGAAATAATTGGTTTAATTATGTCACGTATCTTGACCTCAATTTTTATTTTGGCTCTTGTTCTTGAATTAGAAGCGAAGTTGAAGAAAGCATCACCGCCTCATTGTACTCAAGTCGCTAAAGGTAAAATCCGATAAAAAGTATTTTGACAATTTCACAAAATAATTTGGAATAATTTAAGAAAGATTTTGAAAGTACTTTCTAACAATTATCTTTATATGTTTTTTATGGGATAGGGTGACAAACGAGCACACAGTCCACCTGGTGGTAAGTGGTTGCTGTAGCCAATAGACATCTACATCTATTCTCGTTTGCGAATCAAAATGCAGATGCGTTGTCAACAGCATTGAGCTATTTTAGCTTTTAATTGTAATTAAAATTAGTTGAAACACAGCAGCATTGAGCTACTATTTTACGCTATTATTCTGTGAGAGCTGGTATTATGTTGATAAATTTAATGAAATTCATGAATTCTTACAATTTTGCTAGATTTATGCACACTGCTGAACATAGGTTTCTCTATTATTGGCTTATAAGGCGGATATTTGCCATAATTGCCACGCTTGGCAGGCATGTTGATAACCGAAGTGTTTTTATTTTTCTAGTTAATGATAGGACGACGCTCCCTTCTTCCCTCTGTCACCTCTTACGACACCAACTAGACTATATGGCGTAGTGGATATTCTTACTCCGCCACTACACGGTTAACATATAAACGTATAACGTATAACAAAATATTATTTCTACTTACAGATACCGACTATGTATCCCGCTTCAAGATGGATTATCCTATTATGTATCTTGTACAAGGACAACGGGAAGCATTTCAACAAGTATTTCCTTTTTGTATTTCAATAGCACAAGTTTTTATAAACTTTTTTCATTTGATTGTATTAATATAACTTAAATAAAAATATATACAAACAATATACGGGATAGTAGGTAAGCTGGATTCACAAAAGGCCGGCCAACGATGGGGAAGAAAGGTTCTCGAGTGCCTAACTCGTATCGTTAAGCGAATTGAAGAGCGGTGGCCTACTAGATGGAGTGAGTTCCTAGTAATATTTATGTAGAAAGTTGATGAATGCAGATGGTTTAAGACTGTACTTTGAGGCATTCCTTGGGCGGAGACCTATGTTCAGCAGTGGTCTTGTGAAAGACTGTAATGATGATGATTATTATTATAATATTTTAATTCTGAAAATGCTTTTTTTAAAACTTTTATCTTATTACAAAAAAGTAGTTTATAATTATTCTCAGGCTTAAGATTAACTTTAGTCTGTATCAATCAAGAAGTCTCTTGGTAAATATGTGAACTAGAATGTAAAGTATAGAATTTGAGAGCACATCTCAGACTTCGTGGAGACTGTTGCGTCGAAGCTAAGGGACTTCTATTGTGACAAATACTCTCCTTTAAACCTGAAGCTGTTAATAAACCACGTATTGTAATAAAAGTGAAAATGTTACGTAGGTAATATCTTTCCTAATGGTAAAATATTTGTAGAATTTCCTTTTGTCCCTCTTTATCGACTCTCAACATCCCACAGATAGACATAGACCTCTCCCGTTTTCAGAAGGTTTATTTTTTGGTTTTTTTGCTTTTTAAAAAAAAACCTTATCTCCACAAAAGGATTTTCTCCTGTATCGTGGAGGCAGTTTACAAACACAAATTGCACAAGGACAAGACCCGGAACAATTATTTGTAGGCTATACAAATACCCGTTTCGTGTGGGATTCGAACCCGCGGCCCCCAGCGCAGCAACTCATTGATAAGCCACTGCGCCACGGAGCCGTCCGTTTTATTTTGTTCTTCTAGGGTACCGGTTTCTGGTAACGAATTTCAATTACCTATCAATAAATTTTTTAGATAGGTAATTTCATTGTTTTATTTTAGCCTTAATTTTTTTTAAGGTTATATAAAGCCTATCAAATAGCCACTGCGGAATATTGACCCCCTTCATAGATTGCCTCATATTTGACATAGTTACCGCTCTTGGCAAGCGGGTTGAAACCGCAGTTTTTTTTCGGCTGTTATCAGGAAGATGCTGCTGCTAGTCGCCTGGTTCAGTTTCCTCCTGTGACCTCTTACGACCTATAACTGTCGGTAACACAAACGTTTCCTGTTTCAAGTTCAGCTACGAATTTTCTATTAACACAATTACTTTCTGTTAGATGTACTGCATAAACCCATCGGAAGTGAATAAGGCTGTGACAACAGTTTGCGACTGGGCCGCTCCACCTCAGGTGCAGTTCACACTAGGCGACGAGTACATGCACGTGGTCCGTCAAGATCCGACCGGGCATTTCCTGGGCAACGCAGTAATAACAACGTATCAACTCTGCAGCCATAACATACCACCACACAGCATGCTTAATCAAACTCTTCTGCCTATCGTTACCAAATTGGAATCTTAACAAGAGTGAAAAGTGTTTTTTTCTTTCCATATTATTAAATAAATAATAACTTATACTCGCATAAATTATTTTTTTTTCATAAGGTACTTTACTCCCATATTATTTACATTTCAATAATAAGAAACGAACTTGCTCCATTTTAAGAGGCCGGCAACGCACCTGCAATTCCCTTGGTGTTACAATTATTCAAGGGCAGCGGTAGATACATACCATCAGGTGAGCCGCGTGCTCGTTATAGTAACTATTTTACACTTTTTGTGTCTCTGGCTAAAGCGATGAAAATTGTCTTATCATGGTCTCTCAGTTGGACATGAGCTTTTACCCATAATCTATATATTAGTAGGTAAATAAAAACTTTGTGCCCCTTTTTAACCATCGACACTTAAAAATAAGTGCTACGCGCACTGAGGAGTATCAGAATTTGCTTACTTAAAGTTCATAAGAGAAGGGTTAGGAGAAGGAGTGCAAAAAACTAAAATGTATTTATATTAAGTGTGTTATAAATACATTAAATAAGATAAATTAAATGGAATAAATAACTTATCTCTATATAACGGAGAGGAATTGATTTTTATATTATATTATAAAAATCAATTGCTTTCGTTTAGGGTCGTTAAAACTCAAAAACGGCTCGATCAATTTTGATGACATTTTTGTGTGTGGGTGTGTGCATCCGATAGGTGGCGCTGTGTTGAGATCCAGAAATCACCCGTGCGAAGCCGGGGCGGATCGATAGTAAAAAATAAATTAGGGGAAAGTATAAAATACGGCCGAATTTCGACCACTGGCGACCACTAATATAATGTTAATACATCTTCCACAGTAATTACCATCCTTGGCAGTCACAGATCCATATTATTCGAAGTTTACCTATCTTTGATTCCGACTGCCTCGCTTTCTTCAAGGTCATAAGATCTTTAGTCGATCTACCCATCTCTTAGAAACTAGTATAGAATAGAGCAATGGATAGGTACTAGTTAGAATCTTATGCCGCGTCGCCGACATATGACACATAAACAGACCATTAAAAAGTAATTAACAATAAACTCCCATCGGTTTTACTTATACCTACTCGAGCTTTATTGCTCTAAAAAAAGAGAAGTTTCTTACTATCACGTGAGCTGCATATTCGTTTTCCTCTTTCCTATAAAAGAAAATATTTTAAAATATGCATTATTTACCTGGAAAATCAACTGAAAGGCAACTATTACAGTCACTTATAGCTAGCAATGCGCGCAAACAAAGCTGAGTGCTGTAATTACATTTTCTTTGTGTACTTTCCGTCTGCTGAATTCCCGCGACGTGTTGCTGTTCGCAAATAATTAAATAATAGAATAAAACTAATTATATAAATTGTAGAATTAAGCTCGAGCGGATATTTTGTAAATACAAAATAACAAATACTTTGAAGATTTAGGTACAGGTTTAGACCGCCTCGTTGGTCTAGTGGTCGCAAACGCAACTAATGATTATGAGGTCCTGGATCTGAATCCCGGGTCGGGCCAAAATCAGTTATTGCGATTTTCTGTCAAAAAATTCTTAGTAGCATGTAAAACGGTTGGTCTTCTGCGCCTGACCTCTCTCTGGTCGTGTCGGATAACCCACCCAACGAACTACGAATATAGAGTACACTTGTGCTTACGCATACACTTGGGCACTATGATTTTTGTTCCGCGCAGATAGCTAGTCTCTGTTTAGGCTGACCACTGTAACCGAAATTCGGTTTGGAGATGAAAGACTCAGTTTTAAAACATGTTTATAAAAGAAAGAGACAGATTTTTTTAACAATTATATTATATTATTTACACTAATGCCATCTATTCTGTCTTTTTAGACCAAAGACGCTGCTGCCCAACTTCTAGTTTGTTATCTTTGTCGCCTCTCAGGCCTCTGCTTCGAATTTTGCGGGTAGCGTGGTGGCGGCGGCGGCGACGCGGGAGCGGGGTGGACAACGCAGACCCGTTCTCGAAACCAGCGGGCAGATCGTGCGACACTATAGTGGCGTAGTGATGTGTTCATGGTTGTGTTGTCGAGATATTTGTTTTTAATCGCGAACGAAATGTCTGAACAACGGCGACAACATCTTTTTGAATTTAAATTAACTCCTAACGTCCGATTTATTGTGGGCAAAAGAAGAAGTGAATCCCTACTATAGGGCAAGAAAAAAAGGCGAGTTTTATCGAAATTACGATATCGAAGAACGATGATTAGTTATTTTTACAATCACAGATTTGTTATTATTTGACAGTATTTTTTTATTATAAGGTTGATATACCTAGTGTTAAGTATTATACCCATACATATGTAATTCATTCGAAGGGTACATGTCTTCATTTACACTTAACTCGTCTATAAGAGCTTGATTAATTTTTTGTCTCACTCTAAACTTTTGTACTGGCGTGAATTTTTCCATTTGTGGAAGCAAACTCATTAAAAAGTAGTAGTCTCAAATATATTTGCTCTTGCACGTCCGAGGACATTTCGAAACGTCACAAAAATAAATTGCACGACACTGCAACGCAGACGCGCGGGCGGTCACCGCTTGACTGGAGTGCACCGCTCGTTGCCCGCCCCCGCGCCGCTGCCGCGCCGCTGTTTTCGAGGGTCGGTCCATTTGATTTTACGCATAAGATACTGCCGCTCCCGCGCCGCCGCCACCGCCGCCCCGCTGCCCGCAAGATTCGAGGCAGAGGCCTTAGGACAACCACGGGACGAGAGGTAGTGGATTGTCTGTCACATCGACACTACACGGTCGTACTTCGCTTATTATTATTAGGTTATGCTTCGATAATTACATTCAAAGCTGTATTACCGTTACCTAAGTCAAAAGAAAAACATTTGCGCAATCCCCATACAAGAAAAGGTTGATTGATGTACTATAAGATATCCGACTGGGCTCTGTTCCCGCTTCTGTCCCATTGCAGAGATATATGATGCGACGAAACGATTTACTCTCGCTTTTGTATTATTTTCTTAGTGCTTTGTGTCGTCATTTTATTTAGCTTCATCATTTATGTTTTTATCAAAATCCTAATGATAGCACAATATCATCATTTTTATGCCTTTTTTACGTAAAAACTTGCAATTTTTACCCGACTGCCTCTGAGATTATCGAGAATAAACTTAAACGGCTTGATGGATTTTAACTAGCGAAACAAAACAAAATAATATAATTCAAACGGCTTATTGAAACGGATTTTAAAGCTGAATTAAAGAAGTAATAGAAAACGATTAATGCTCATTAAATGATTCCTCTTCGAAACAAAATCGCGTGCCTTATGCTGCTGTGTTTGGAATTTTGAGTGTAGAGAACTACAGACCCTTGTTACTGGAAACGAGGCATTTCATCTTAGTCCTTAGGGCGGACAATGAATCTTTATTTTTATTCATTAGGAATTTCGAAATATAAATGTGTATAGAGACCATAGAATTCCTATAGATTCATTGAATTACATATTGTAATAATTTTATAACAAAATAAACTAAACTTGATTTTTATTATTAACTTACTATGTGGAATGCATATTGGTTTGTCATTTTTCATCCTTATTTTTATATAAAAAAAAACATGTGTGCAGTTCAAACACAGTAGAAGTGAAATCTTCAAATGAAATGAAATAACTAAAATTATTTCACGGCAAATAGCATAATTTTCAATGACAAGTGCGGCATAAAAATAAGATAATTTATAAATATTAAACTTTTAGTTTTATAGCAAATAAACGTTACAATCCTTAATTACACACAGAGTTTATTTTAGTGTAATAAATCAAAAGAATATTTTCATTCGAGTAAATTTGCTTTGTAATAGCGCCATCTATTTCATTCTAAAGATATAAGTAAAGTAATGAACAAACATTATCTACGACTTTATCTACCACCAGGGCTGTGACACTTTGGAAATAGGTGATATATTTGACAGATTTTTTTGAGTTTTTGAATTTTTATTGTTAAGAAAACAATAAGGTTTTTCTATCAGTTTTATATTTTATATTAATTAGATTAAAATGGATAAATAAAAGTACGGATACTTCTTAAATCAAAGAACCAAGAAGAGAGATAAGTAGTATATTAAATAGATGTACACCATTACCTCTGTAGAAACCATCTTCCTTTTTTTTTTTGCGAGTTTTTTACAAAGTTGCATTGTCCGTAGGTTACAAAACTATCGTGCTACTCAATTTTAGATGGAATGCAAACTCATTGTCACTGGAAGTAATAAAAATACCGAAGTACCGACTGTAAATGGATTTCAAAGCTGTGTTTAAAAATTCTTAAGATAGAACTATTAAGTCGTAAGCGCGACTGCTTATCACGATATCCCGGGTACAAATCCCGTATTGGACCAAAATTGGTTATAGAGATTTTCTGCCAAGAATTTCTCAGTAGCAGTCTAAAATCAGGAAGTTGGCGGTATTTCACCCACATTGGACATGAGAGTGAGGGCATAAAAAGTGCACTCTTGCTGGGCGCACACTCGTACACTATAATCTTATCCTGCGCAAATGGACTCTCCGTGGAGGCTGGCCACTGTGACTGAAATTCGGATGTCAGCAGTAGTTCTACAACTTCGGAGTAGGTGCACAAGAAGATTTGATGGTAATATGCCAACTTACCTTTAACTTGCATCCTTGAATGATTTTTATAACATAAACAGGAAATAAGTGTGACGAAGTAGAGTCGTGGTACTTCATAGGCTTAGCCCACACTCGCTGTAAATGTCACAGTATGCGACTACCCCGTGCTCGATTTCCGCTTGCACCAATGAAGGAAAGACCACGATCTCACAGAATACAGACTTAAAATAGTAGCTAAATACTGCTGCGTTTTGTATGATGATTTTAGGTAACTAGAGAAATTTTTAATGAATTCGAGGCATTCTATCTTAATCCCTATAGTTGAAACAAGGATATATGTCAACTACACCTATCCTTGCTTAAGAATTATCTACGGGCCACAGCATCTATTTACCATCAGGTGGACAGTGTGCTTGTTTGACA